TTCTGCAGCATAAGTTATGTCAAGAATTAATAAACTTAGGAGGAGCTAGACACTGAGAAGTGAGAGAGAATAAAAAAGAACTCCTGCCATATTATTCCGTCTTGTTTAGGTTCCCTTGGCTCTAGCTATATTATCTAGGTATTGACATCGGACGTGATGAATTAATAACAGTGGTCCTATTTTTGAGAGATTGATTTTGTATGTTTATATTTTCACATGATCATAAGAATAGCAAATAGACTGTAGAACTAAGAAAATTATAAACAGAATTCTTTTTAAGGAGAATCCCTCAAATTTATTCAGTATCTGAATAGAATATACATGTTTAGAAAACACAAGCACTTGCATTTACCATTATACGTAAAAGATACTCCAAATCTGTACAAGTCAGAGATAAAGTGTTATACGGTTTGTTGCACATATCCTTTTTTAAACACAGTTCCTACTTCCTGTGCATTCATGCCAGGTATCTATGTATGTCTCATGAACATAAGTTGACTTTTTATAAAACTGCTCAACTGCTGGATCCTGTGGAATCCAATTCTACTTTGTTGGTTATGTGCAATGTAGAGAAATCAAAGTCAATGAATTCCCACTTAAATAGGAACACTTCTATGTATGGCGCTCATACCATCTTAATTTTTTTTTTCTCCCCTGAGTTTTTCAACGTTACATATTCCTGAAGCCATGAATAGTCTACCAAACCATGGCAAACGCTACATCGAGTGAAATTTCTGAGAATGGGTGCTTTAATATGCTGTGCAAAATACTACTTTTAGTAGCAATGGTAAAAAGGCTATAAGGTCCTATATTTCTTTAAGTAATCAGGAAAGAGTGAAAGTTCATACCACAAAAAGATTAAAAATAGAAAAAAAAGAAATAAAATTTCAAAACATAAGCCCTTGCTAGGAATAAACAAACGTACTTCTGAGAGTGCCTGGTATAGAAGGCCAATCCACGCTCACTTTATTATGGTATTTACTTTTTAATCTGCTGCCGTCAGTGGACAACAAGCACTTATTCTATCAAATGTTCTTCCACTGTGCTGTGCGAGAACAAAGAAATCTGTCAGGAGCCTTATGCAACTGAAAGCTCTTTTTTTGTTTTGTTTTGCTCCACAATTCCTTCCATTTTCAAAAAAGGCTATCAGTTAAGACAATGATGAATCTTTTTGCACTATTGCAGTCAATCCTGAGTAAAAAAAACAATTTTCAACACAAAACTTTTCATCAGGGCTACCAAATCTACCTATACTTGACTAAAATACCTTCAATGGGATGCTTGCTCCTTCACTGCCAAGATCTGACTGGGTTTTATTTTAAATGTAAGTCCTATGTTTAAGCCACTCTTTATATGTGCTCTTATTTTAAAATTTGAAATTAATTATTATGACAGAGATTATTAACTTTCCTCCTCCTCTTTTAAATTCTTTTGTGTCACATTTATTTTCGCTGATTTCTAGTAGCTCGACGATGAAGGGAGTTTCAGGTTAGAAGGAAACAGCTAAGGAATTCAGAAATATACTTTTTGACAACATGACTTTTCCTAGAAATTCCAAACACATTAGTAGACTTTAGTAAGATACCTTTTTGTTTGTTTTGAAGTTTTGTTTGACTGCACCTGCAGAAAAGGATGTGAAAATTTCAGGCTTTCAGTGAAATCAGAATTTACAGTACGGTAAGCAGCAGATACTATGACGAGAACAACAGGTAAAGCAAACAAGGTTAAAAAGTAAAGTAAAGGCTTTGCATAGTTTCAGCCACAAGAGGAACACGAGGAAGGCATTGGAGATTGGGAGCAGGTGAGTGAATACCACTTGCACCAAAGGATCAAGTTTGTCACAATCATGTGATTTTTATTGGTTTTCCTCTCCTACAGTCTGCTTCTTTGAGTAGGAAAGAATGGTTTTCCAATAATCTCTTCATAGTTAATCAGTTTGACCTTTGCTTACACTTTCCAGAATAAAACTGTTTCCCAATTTATTTTTACTTTTCATAAACCTTTAGGTTGATCTTCCATCCTTAAAAAGATCAAAAGATTTTATTATACCTAATATCAGATTATTGAAGATTTTAGTACATGCATGGGCAGTTCACCTAATCCCATTGACCTTTTCATATTAAAATCCAGTTTTATGTTTTATTTATTTGTTTAAAAAAATTCTCATATATCCTTTGCTCAGATCCTTGTTCTTTATTCTTACATGAAAATTAAAGCAAAACAAGACTATTTACACAGGACTAGGAAGCATGTACCAAGGATTTGATTGGGGGGTGGGGGGAGTCAAATGTGATCAATTTTCTGTTGAGAATCTTATGTATAGTTCAAACCACATGGCTGCCTTCTGCTTAGAAAGTAAGCATACATCTCAAGTAGTCACTGTTGACTGTTTTGCTCATATTTTCTTACTCAAAATTCATATAGAGATATTATTGGCTAATAGATTCCTTTCTCCCTCTTGTTTTCAAACATGTCTAACCGAAGCGAATGCTGTTACATCTACAGCCACTTTGTCGCAAAAGCAGCCTGCTACAGGAAAAAAATAAACCTAAGTATCCATTCCCTGAAAGCACGGGTCTTTTAAAATACCTAACAATAAATAGAAAGCAAAAATATTCCACACACAGCATGTTAACTTCTTACCCCAAAAAATAATACACGTGACAGAACAGATGAACAACTACCAAAAAATATCATGGGGAACCGTTGCAGCAAGCTGCACAAAGAGGGTTTATTCTGCCAAAAATCTGCTTTGTCACATAAAGCACAGAAGGGCTCAAAGGGAAGTTTTGGTCAATAACAACGAACAGTAATTTATGCTTCTGGTAAGAAAGAACTTAGTGGTGGTGTTCGAAGAAAACTCAACCAGCTTTTATGTTGTAGAATGAAACAAATTTAACCATGCTGAAAGCTGTTTCATACTTATGCTAAATCTTGGGATTAGCAGTGACTTTGCTGTCATTAATATGCTTTCTCTCTATTGGATACAATAATTTAATTAAAACTTGACTAACCCTTTTGCTTTAATCTCTCAAGTCAACCTATAAAACAGCAGAGGTTTTCAGTCAAACTATAAAACCTGTCAAAGCTGCAAGGTGAAGTGCACATGAGAGAACTAATAAAAGACTATCAAACAAGCCTAGTAAATCACAAGGCTTTGTAAAGAATTTTAACAGGAGAAGCAGAGGAGGAAGAAGATTAAACTTAAAAATTTCTCTCTAGAAAAAAAAAGACCATGTGATAGCAAAACTTTTTCAGTATTTAACTAAGACAATAAACTGCTATTGCATAAATAAAATTAATCACTCGGTTATACTTTATCACAGTTTGTAGTGAACACACTTCCCAGATCAATAACACTTACTAGGTAAACTAAAAAAAAAAAAAAAAGAATAAAACAGGATTAACAGCTCAAGTTTAGTAACAGTTTGAGAAAGTTATGTGATTCTGTATCAGAGACCAGGAACAGACACTGACACTTTTACAAAAGGAACCAGCGACAGCAAACAGCAAAATTAACAGTAACTGTACAAATTCTGTGTGTAATATTCACAGTAGTGCTCAGATTTAAGTGCGCAACGGCACCATTTTTAAGCACGTGCCTTTATACGTTTGGCACATTCACGACAGACACGCACAAGATCTTCTTTCTTAATCCCTCTGCTGCCTTCAACAACAGTAACCATCCTCCACCATACACAAACGGATCAGCTCCATTTCATCAACATGCACTCATGCCTGTGGGGGATCTACCAGAGAGGTGACCGAAGCACAGAGACACATATGGAAACGCGGAAGAGGGTGAGGTGGGGCGAGGGGGGGAAGCTATACATTCGCCATAGCCGGGTGCGACTTCCATTAAGTGCAATGACGCAAAAGTAAAACCCTGTATTCTGAAATAATGATATTTGTTTTGGAGAGAAAATGGTAATTTTAAGCATTAACTTTAAAAAGATAGATCCACCATCTTAATTATGAAGCAACAATTCTAGATATTGATGCAGGAGAGAAAACCTCCTGCAATCTATTATAAACAGTTAAATCACAATAATTTATCTTAATTTTCAAGTTTTTGATTTATACTGTGATCTACCTCATCAACATTCAAAATCATTTTGGCATTATTCTGAATTCTGATACTTCGTATACTATCAGAAAGGTGTGCCCTTCTCCTTACTATTGAAACAGGCTTTATTAATCGTCAAGAAAAAGGTCCTTTCCCACAATTCAGTAGTTCTAGCTTGTTTAATAAAACATCATTTAAGACAAGAGTAATATCTACGTATGGAAAATGCCCTTCAGCACTTCCTAAAACACCAGACCTTTTTTTACAAAGCAGTCAATACCATCTTGCCATAAACTGCAGCTTCCTTGAAACAATACAAAGAAATTTTCGTGCATATGCAGAAAAAAGCTTGGAAACCTACTTGCAAACTTTAAGAAACAGCAAAAATAGATATCTATTATGACAAAGTTAATCATATAAATCTTGGAATAAGTTGGAAATGAAACAATAGCAAAGTGTGGGAGTAGTTCAAGAATCAACACGAGTCTTTCAGGAAATAAGAGGTCCTTGATTACTGGGATCTTTAAAAGTGGTATTTGTTACTCTTTATTGAGGTAAAATTCAAGCGTTAAAAAGAGAAACACATTGTGTGGGTAAGCACACGTGTGTGTTTACTTGTAAGAAAAAAAACCCAGACCTTAAAGGGATAATGAGAAATTAAACATCACCGTTACGCTGCTAATACAAAATCCTGCATCTGAAGTTGTAAGCACTTCACTGAGATGTGCTGTGTTATTTCCACAGTCCACTTCAAATGAAATTACTTTATTATTGTCATTTTTTCTCAAGTCAATAAATACCAGAAAAGGAAGAATCCACCTGCGTTACTAATGCTTACAGGTTACATAATCCTATAATTTAAATTGAAATGCTGGGAGTGTTTCATGTCAAAGCCAGCAGGTACTATCTTTAGGCGTTTTATCTCTTTGCTTACCTTTACTTGCACTCTCAACATGCTGCAGTTCATCTGGGAATTTTAAAATGTCCCGATAATTCTCCTCACAGATCTCTACCAGAAAATGCAAAAGGGTTGTTTTCTGATCGGACGTCTTAGTATCTCTAATCTAGAAAAGTGAACAGAGGAGAGAAAACAAACAAAAATCACTTTTTTGAATGAAGTATTTTTTTACATCTGCCAAACTCATTTTAATGAAACTCATTAGCAAAAAAGTTACCTACAATGGCTGCCTGCAAATGAAATAAATTATTTCAAATTTTCAATTTCTACAATTCTTTATAATTTGTAAGACTACAAAGGGAATCGATCCCCATACCATATTTCTCATAAGAAATTATTCTGAGAAGAAAACATGAAGACACTCCATACAGATCTGAGATTGCAGCAATGCCAGTTCAGAACGGTCACTGAGATAAAAAAACATAGCAGTGAGTAAACAGAACAAAAAGAGCAAACGCCTCCTACGCCACCACTGGCATGTTTCTGGAGGAACCCCTCTGAACTGCTGCACAGCTGGACAGAGTGCTAAATGCAGAATTTGCTCTTTTATTCCAACCAAGCCAAAGAAGCTTCTCATCATAAATCCGCAATTTTTACTGAAGAAAAAGCTGAAGAATAATGCTGGATCTTAAACTGATTCCCAGCTAGTTCAGGCCTTCTAAAAACTTCTGTCCAAACACATCAAATAAATGCACCTTAATATTTCTGCAATACAAAACAACAATAGAAAAGCAAGTCTAATCTTAACTGCCAGTAAATGAAATTCAGTAAGTTCAATTTTACTTAGGAAAAGCTGTGCAAGAATTGTGCACAGTGTGAAGAAATAGGCAGTTACTTATTTTCACTATCCTCTCAACAATGAAGGTAATTTCTTGAATGAACTAGTGGTCTTGAAATGATGTGACCCTCTGTTCTCCATTAAGGGCATGGACCACTAGAATCAGTTTACTGTTTGAAAAATCGTTCTGAAATCATGAGATATAGGGCTAGTGACAAATTTCACAGTAAGACTACACATTAGTGGCTAAATCCCACACTGTAGTGTGCTTGTGTGTATGGACAGGAATATCATGATTTTAAGAGAATGGCAAAACAGACTCAAGTCCAAACTCAGTCTCTCCATTTTCATGGGCATATGAAGAGTGAATGTATGAGTTAATTGAAGATTCGGCAGAAGTAGAGATTACCCCTTATTTTAAACGGCCCTAGAGGCAGTAGGTGCACATAAGAGTTTAAGAGATGAATATACTTCATTTCGGTAGATGAGAATTAGTATTATGAATATAGCTATAAAGATTTTAACCAATTTCACTAACTCTTCATCTAGTATAGTCCTTATACAAAAGTAAGCTACAACATACACTACAAATGAAATCAAGGATTTATTTAAGAGGAATACATAAATATGTGTACAAAATCTCCTATTTGTTTTCTCATTCTGTAAATCACTGAAAGTTCTAATTCTATAATCCTCATGACAGGCTTGCCATTGATGTTCAATTTAATACAGGCCTTTCGGCTTTAAGGATTACCCTGTTATGAAGAAATGAGTACAGTTCAAAACTAGGCTTTTAAAAATATATGATATTTAGGCAATTAAGAATGCAATTTAATTCATACTGATGCAGTGATTAAGGACTAAATAATGCTCAGTAATGGTATGCAATTAAAAGGTTTTGATGCATTAATACATTATCTACATAGAAGTTTTAGCAACTGGAAAAAAATCCTAGCTTTAGTGGCTGAACATCTGCATGGTAAAAGGAAATTGCATTTCAATTTATCTGTGAACAAGAACTGTGGGATTTGTACTCTCTGATCTTTGTGACATCATAAAGTGGATAAAACTTTTTTTTTAATAGATAAAATTATTTTGCCTTCAGATTACAACAGAAATGTGTTTTGTCACCAATAGTAACACTTGAATTAATACTAGCACCTGCTAAGCTATTTAGGACCTGCAGTAAACATTCACTCAAATCTTGAACAACCTTATCAAATTCACTTCTTTGGCCCTAACAAGAAAGTCACCTCCATTAAATTCATTCATATTTGAGTTTCACTCATTAAGCTACACAATGTGTAACATTTAGCTCATTTTAGCACATTTTAGCACAATTTTTAGAATTGTCTCAATGTTTTAAAACCAAATCATAAGCCTATTAATAATGAGACAATACGGAAGATAGGAATTTTGAGTCTAGTTTAGCAGACATTAAACAAAAATACAAACAAACAATAGGAAGTCGAATGCTAACAACAGGCGACTATGTCACTATATTCTCTGTATTAACTTGCAACTTTCCAATATTTTTATCCTTCAGAGTAAATTTTTTTCTCTTCCCTCATTTTATTCTCTGGTAGAATCTAGTTTTGACTTTACGAAAAAGACAGTCCTGCATATTTAAAAATCAGGAAATTTACCTTTTAATAAATCCCCCCCCCAGCCTTACATCCAGTACAAACCTCCCTTGCTTCGATTTATGACCACTTTCTCTCATTCGCCTGCTGTACACATTAGTAAAGAGCCTGGCTCCTTCTTATCAATAACCTCTTAATTATTGGAAGGCTGCTATAGGCCTCTCTGAAGCCTTCTCCAGGCTGAAGAAGCCCCATTGCATCAACCTTTCTTCACAGGGCAAGCGCTTCACCCTCTTGACCATCTTTTTGGTCTTCCACTGAGCTCACTAAAGTTCACCAACAAGAAAGAGGTCTTGTACTGAAAAATGCACACAGTATTCCAGATGCACTCTAGATAACGCTGAGGAAAGAGGAAAAAAAAAAGTCACTATTCTTGATCTATTGGCTAAGCTCCTATTGATAAAGCCCTGGATGCTGTTAGCCAGCATTGCTGCCAGAGCATGCTTATCCACCAGTGCAGACCCCAGGCCTTCTGCAGAGTTGCTTTCCAGCCACTTGCAAACCAACACCTTTGCAGCAGTTTAGTCCATCCTAAGCGCAGGACTTTACATTTCTCCTGACTGAATTTCTCAAGTTTCCATGCAACCCATTCCTCCTGGTCTGTCAAAGCCTATCTGAATGGCAGCTCTGCTCTCTAACGTAACTACTACACCTCCCAGCTTGTTGTCCACAAAGCCAATGAGTATACATTCAGTCTCCTCTTCCAGGAGATAATAAGCAGAACAGGTCCCAGAAAAGGCCCTGCAGTACTCCACTTGCTACTGATCTCCAGGTAGATTATGACCCACAAACCATTACTCTTTGAGCACAATGATCCAGCCAGTTTTCCAGCCAGCTAGTAGTCCACCAATCTAGACTGTAATGGTCAACTTCGATACTAAGATGCAGTGGGAGATCATGTTGAAACACTTTCTAAAGTCAAGGCAGTTGACATCTGCTGCCTTCCCCGTCCACTGATCCAGTAATTTCAGCACAGAAGGCAATCAGATTGGTAAGGCATAATCAGAGATTTACCAAAGGCAAACGCATGCTGCCTGTTCCTGTTCCAGTCACCATTTTCTCCTTCGTGTGCCAAGAAACAGCTTCCAAGAGGACTTGCTTCATAATTTTCCCAGTGAAAAAAATTAGGCTGACTGGCCTGCACTTCCCTAGATCACCCTCGCCCTTTTTGAACGGCCTTTCTCCAACTGTCAAGAGACCTTCCCCACTGTCGACAATCTTTCAAAGACATTAGAGAGTGACCTTATAAAGACATCAGCCAGCTCTCTCCACACACTCAGATGTAGTCCATCTGGTCCTACGGACTTGTGTGGGTTAAGTTTTATCTACAGATCTCTAACTTGATCCTGTCCATGACTGGTAGTTCTTCTCTTTTGAACCCTGTCTCAAGGTCTAAGGCCTCGGAGACTTTATTAGCAAAGACCAATGCAAAGAAGGCATTAAGTACCTCAGCCTCATTGCAATACCTGCATAGGCTGCAACTAAAACACACCACATTCAGTGGTAGGTACACATTTTCCTTGTTAATTCTTTGACTGCTGAGTCAGCAGTTCAAGCTCTTGTTAACCTTGACATCTCCCATGAGTTTCAAATCCAGAGCTTTGGTTTTCATCCCTGCATGCCTAGGCAATGCTTCTGAATTTCTTCTTTTAAAAAGCCTGACCTTGCTTCCCTTTCTTGTGCATGTCCTTTTTGCATTAGAGCTCAGCCATGAGTTCGCTCTTTAGCCATCAGGTCTCCCAATACATCTACTCACTTTCTTGAGTACTGGGATGTACTTCTGGGGGTTTGTAGGAGGTTCTCAAAGATATGCCAGCTTGCTTCAGCTCCTTTGCTCTGCTCCTCCTACAGGATCCCATCTACCAGTTCTCCAAATAAACCAAAATCTGTTCTCCTTAAGTCCAGAGTCTGTGCTCTACTTGCCAACTTCACCCTCCTTAGGTTTTTGACTATTTCACAGTCAGGGCTGCCAATCGTTATCACATCCTCAACCTTCATTTTTATTGAGTAGCAGATCCTGGAGAGCATCACCTGTTGTTGCCTCTTTCTACCTTTTTTTTTTTTTTTTTTTTAAGTTACCTTTTGCAAGCCTGATTTTTATGTATTAAGATTCAGAGCCAAGACTGTCTCTGTGCAATGCATAGCAAATAAACCGCCCTTGATCCTTTACTCAAATACTGACTGTAAGCCAGAGGAAAATTTGACATAGCACATATCACAATTCTAAGCACAAATTGAACTTTGCAATCTTATTATTATCCCTTAGTATAACGATAAATTGTCCTTTTATGAACAAGAGCTCTGGAAAAGGGAAAGTTTAAAATACTAGGTTTACAAACAAAACATACTTAGACCTGCTTATGCTTATTATGGTTAATAATAAGAAAACTAAGAATAAATATCTAGTTTCTCACAAAAGCTGTCATATTTACAAAAAGATTCGAACAGCTGAAGTTTTAGTCAATGCCTTCTCAACTAAAGAAACGTCCTATTTAGGCTGGGAGACTGAGCCCAAAAAATGAAAATAAATATTGATTTTTTTTCCCCCTTTTTTAAAAGGACAAAGGCTAACCCAGTAGTCTCTATCACTGAAAATCTGATGGATCATCCACGTACTTTTGTTTGCTACTTTCATAGACAATAACTACATGTAAGATTTATGGTAAAGAGCAATTAGAATCATTT